GTTAGTTACAAGAAGCAACTTGGCACCTTTTATTCACTAACCCAGCCAAACTCTACAGTCTATCTTGGACCACTGAGTGGTAGGGTTACTAAGTTAATCTTCATATACTGCTTTTTTGTTACTGTACTTCGGTGCTTTCTCACTGATTCCTATGAGCAATTGAAGCTTATTTGATGTTTTTGTACCATCTGTGTTGTGTTTAAACGGGACGCAAACCTCGGGTGTAGCCTGAGGTTGTAAGTTTAATAGCTGATTCACCACATTTAAAATGATGGCTACTGAACCGAACATTTTGTGTTGAAAAAATACTTTATCACCTGATGTATATAATGACCAAAAAATCTCAACCCACTCCAGCTCTTGTTTTATTACCCTTTATGACAATAAATGGAAATTCCTGTTGACCTGGTGGCGACAAGCATCGCTAGTTAGATTGAACATTGCTTTAATCGTTATAAAACATCTCGTTAGGCATTTGATTTTGTCATGGTCAGAAAAGGGGTATTGTGAGGGAAATTGACGTTTGCGTTCCAAATTTTTGTTGAGGCACATTTTCCTTTTATAAATATAGGATAAAACTGTAAACCTCCGATGATCATGCGGGTGAAATATTATGTCAGTCTAATTGCAGTGTTTCAGGAACATTGCGATAAACTGACACCCAAATAAGGCTTTTAAACCTGTGACTTCTGGAGCATAAACACACCGAATTATTCGTGCGGTTTGGTTTGCAGTTCCAATATGAGGTGCTTACATATACATGCAAGAAGTGCGTTCACATAAAAAGATGCTGCCGATGCTAGCCTCAGCAGTGCGTCTATTGATGATATCATATAGTGAACGGATGCAGTTAGCTGCCCTGGCAAATTTGTGTTAGTTTTGTGGATTTCAATGTTGAACGTCAACTCCTTATCCGTTTGTGGCGTACTTTTACACATCTCTGACGAGCTTGACTGCCGGATGAAAGACATTGGGGAAAAACAATCTCCTAGATGACGTGGCAGTATTTTTTTAGCGGGTTAAGAGTGCAATGAAATTGCTTCAAAGTTCGTTCACTGCAGTGTGTGAAGGACTGACCACTGAAAAATAAATTTCCTCTCAAATTTGCAAAGCTTTGTATAATGGAATATCCCGAGAAACTTTGTGGAACCCCTACTGTTTTTTAATTTCAAATCGGAATAAAGAACACACCACACATAAGAGTGGTTTATTTATCTATCTAACAAATCACCCGAGATTAACCCCCCCCCGTCATTCAAATGAACCGGACAAATTAGCTGCTTCGTTGTTCACGTAGACAGAATCAGCTTTTGGTTTGTGGGAACAGGTTGACATAGGCACCAAACTGATGCTGTTTGTGAACATAAACTTGATATTACAGGTTTGACTGTATAATCATGCTACATCCAACAAACACCCACCTTCATCACGGGTGAAAAGGTAGGATTGCAGGTGGAGAAAATGCTTCGCGCCGAATTGTTTGTCGCGACTATTATTCAAGTAAACTTGTTACACAAAGCTCTGTAGTCGTTGTTCAAATGCAGTATCTAACTCGGAGGCATAAATCTGGCTACTCCAGGTAAGCTTAAATAACAAAATCCATTTATAAGGATGACAATTCTGACGCATATTGTTTCTATCACCAAGTTTGAAACTAGGGCAGCTTAAAAACGTTGCAGCTAGCCCTTACTCTCAAGTCGGCATGGGGCCACTCTTGGGGTGAAAAAAAAACAATCACCGCCATTTAAGAATAACTTTACTTAATAAGAAGTAGCTTGCATTGTTGCTAATAAAACTTCTTATCCGACTTTGGGAATATTTAGTTCCTATGAAAAAAAACAGGTTCCTCTGCTCAGTGAGGTAATTTTCCGATTGATTTTAACTCTGCAGCAAACGTGAAGACGGTTGATTAAATAGATACATGCAAAAGTTTGGATATGCACAACTTCACTCTCGTTGGCCATAGAAATACGGTTCAGGGGTGGTATCATTACTTAAATTGTATTCTTTGCAGTTCAAGCTGGGTAATTAGTGTAAGGTACTTTGAGTCACATGTTGATGATCATTTATGTCTCGATAAAAATAAGACTGTGTTAATGTCGCAGAAAAATCTGGCTATAGCTTATAATTCCTAAGGCCAATCTATTTATTTGAAGAAGGTTTACGAATCGCATTTAGAGTAACAAACATCTTGAGTTGTTTAAACTGTTTCTTCCTTTGAGGCTGTTCTGAGGTGCGGTCATTTGTGATTAAGAAGCACCGCTCCAACTAGAAGAAATTGGTATCCCTAGAGAGATGTAGAAACCTTTTTGTAGTTGCGATTTTAATGTGAGACAGGAGGGCTGAAGTTGCCTTTAATTGTTTCGAAATACATGGTGAATCTTTGGGGAAAATCAGAGAGTTTACTCTCAGATAAACGACATTTTTTCCTAATCAAGTGTGTCTTGGTTAGTGCGTAGATAATACGGTTAATGCTTTCGTATGCTAACCAAGTCTGGCGTTATTCCTGAGGGAGTTCCACTGTAAAGACAGATGTAAACAGGAAATCGAAGATGGAAATGCGATTGCAAAGTGGTGTTGTGGGGAGTGGTTTATACTTAGTTATCTCCTTGAGTTTACCACTGACCTAAATATAGCTGTAAGCTAAAGGTTGCAGTCATCAGAAGAGGATCGTTCGGCAGAAACTAATGAGGCAAAAAGTGCATACAAATGGCGGGTTTTTAGTCACACACTCCAATGTTTTGATCAATGGTAATATAGAGCACCTGAAATTGTTGGTATTGCCGCAGTGTTAGGTATACCTAAGAAAAGCTGTTTGGAAGGCATCAAACCACTGAACCGTAAAACCAACAAATTGGTCAAACCTTAATAAGCGAATCCATGCTTGTTTTCTGGTAGATCACTAATCACAGCTATATATATAGACCAAGATAATTTTGGAGACTCGGAGTGTATCGCGCGTTTAGCAGGCACCAGTGAACCCTCTGACCATCACTAGCTACATCCTTCCAGGAAGGGCATTGATCATTCGGAAAACTAGCACGTTTCTAATGGCTCTCATCATTTAGTGAGTCCACAGTCGGGAAAATTAGCAAAAGATCCACCTCTGAATGGACATTCCTTCTTCGGACAACAAACCGGCTACATGTTCTGCCTTCACAACATCTTAGGGGCTAGTAGAGCTACTGTGCCTGTGGGGAATTTTAGGTCAGTGTAATATATAAGCTCGCTTGTATCATTCTGCCTAACAGTCAAGGAAGCAGCTCAAACAGCCAATGCGCAAACTATGAGCAAGCAACTCACAAACGTTATCATTATATATATATATATATATATATCTTAATCAAAGCATGCTTCCTCCATCCGTACACGTTGTATTACCTGTGACGCGTTTGTCTTGGATTTCTATATGGAGTTATGTGAAGCTACTACGAACACTTCAGCTGTCCACGCGTGTCATCAAAGAATAAATCTGGTTGGCTTTTGCCTGAAATTACGTAAAACGTCGTTCCGTAGGGTGCGTCATGTGTCCACAAAGCATCTGCGTCTGCCTTACTCCTGTGTGTGAATAGTGTTTGGTGATTTAATATAGTTGGATTTGTTTCATGAACAGCCCTGTAATCCACCAATCTTATTTTCATCCAATATTTTCGTTGTAAGATAATAGTCTGCGGACTCATTTCCTCACATTTTTTCAAGGAATGACTTGAATAAACCGGAATGGGGTCACTGTTAGGCGTAAACAGCCCGGTGCGTTAACAAACAACTAGTTACCGTGAGTAAAAACTAGAGGACAGACTGGTTTCATCCCATATGGAATACTTTCTTTGATCCGCGCTAACTAAATGTTGTTTCAGCTTACTATTGGGTAGCGTAATCAATACTGTTTAATGTAGACACTGCCATGAAGTGCCAGTAGTAAATGTTTAAGAAGATACTCGAACTAGTCATAACGTGATTGTTTGGAATCCCTCACATAAGCCGGTAGCGCCAGCATCTTGCCTATGAACTTAAAGAAAGTTTCTTTGGATAGAATCCGACTCAACACCCACCCTCTCGAGTGATGTTTAGCACTGCTTCAAATTGAAGAACGCGTGAAAAGGCGAAATGGAAAATATCACCATGGTGAGTGGAACGTATTCGGCAACCAGGAAAAAAACAAACCTTTATGGGGACAAGATGTAATATGATAACTGGACAGAGTGCGTTAGACTATATTGCTTGTCTCATGAGTGAACTCGCGGATAAAACAAAATGAAGTCTAGATAAATCGACGAACAAATCCTCACGCGTCAGTGAAATTACTTCACCGAGCAGTGAGCATCAGTGCCGCGACTACGTACATATACGACGTAACACAAGCCACAGATCGTTTACACAATCTGGGTTATTAGTGTCGAGTCACTAATGTCTAATTAAAGCGTAAACGACTCTGTTTATTTCCAGAGTCTAGGACTTCGGAAGACTGATCTGGGAAATACAGTTTGTGTGACACTTTAGCGAACATCAATATTCTTGTTCGGGCATAGGTTGGAGTCTCCAAAGGAACTCCTTGCCGATGCTGGATCTACTCGTGAGCTTAAAAAATCAGTGAACTGGCGCTATTTGCTTACCCTTGTTATGAAAAAGCATCTTTTTTTACTCAACAGGTAAAAATTCCCCAGGCAAAAATAATTTCAACATCTTTTTCCCAATATAGAATGAACAGATGTGAGCACGAGGTCCAAGGAAGGTTACGCTTAAAAGACTTTGAAAGCACAATAGCTGTAATGCCAAATGAAATATTTTAGAGTGGCTTCACTAATAAATTTGAAAAGAATGCGGAATAGAAACAGAAATAGACTAACGTTACTGAGACAGTTTCATCGCACAGCTTTGCAAACAGGACTTGAATAACAAACCAATGTTACGACAGTTTCTTTAATCCTACATGTTGTCGCGATGCCATTAGTGCACAAAAGAAAGAAAAGTTGGAGACAGAGAGGTGGATACCTACAGCGGTTCCTGAGTGCGTAATAAAATACTTGACATTTAATATTTTGGAAAGATTTTGAAACGCATCGGCTCTCTAATTATTGAATTACAGGTAGTTTGAAAAACTCAGATAACCACAAGATTTTTGAATACAACCGCGATGAAGTGCACTTTTCATCTCAACTACAATGCCATCTAAAACATGAGCCTTCTTTTGTAACGCACATTTGCTTGAGGGGTATTCTCAATGATGGACTCAGGCACATCTCTTTCTAACATCGGCCATATTTGCAAATGAGTTTACAACCTCAGTTAAAACAGTCGTTCAAAGAACAATAGTAGACAATTACCCGCTGCTGAGATGGCAGAGACTCAAATCTGCAAACGCCATTTGTGTTAACAACGGAATTATCTGACTTATCGTGAAAAAAACTGACTCCGAATCAGCTTTATATCCTTATTACTTTTTTTTGGGTAGGCCTGAGTGCTGATTATTTTTGCTTGCTATAAAATGTGCCCTGGATTTTGTGTTTGTTTGTCAAATTACATGTTAATTTTCGTACCCTAAGCTTCATTTCAATTGTGAAACGATGGCTGAATAATTAGGTCAAACAGCCAAATATGATCTATCTTGTTATTGTATGTCGTGTTTTACCGCGAACTTTAGAAATCCAACTGGATGTGTGAACACACAGCTGTTTGATGTCGTCCCGGCGGTAAGTAAAACATAAAACGTGCAGCAGAGCCACAGATAAGTGCTTTATAATATACATATTTTGACTTTACACATGAGAAAAGTTAACCAGTTAGTCCCTATAGACCGATCAGTAAACTGGGATAATTTATTCTGGGAACTGAAAAAAGCGAAAGGACTCATAATATGAGAATGAGAGCTCATATAACATATGCACAATTTACTAATTTAGTAATAGTCACTAATGTCGATGACTGGCATCCTAGAACGAGCGAGAAGACTACTCCTTCAATGAAAAAATTAGTGCCATTGATATGTTATTTCCCAAAATACCAATCACAGTGATGGAAGAATAAATACCCATCCACAATTACATGAATTCTGTCCAATTAAAGCAGTTAACCTGGGCAATCAAACGAGATATTTTAAATCAATGAGCCAAATCTTCCTCCTTCTGAGTTAGGACTAGTTAAATAGTAGACAGGAAGCCAAAATTCTTGGTAGCATTTTAGGATCATTTTATTTTCAGGCATGAAATCGATTGCCGAACGAGAAATTTGTGTTTCGTGCCGCTCAATTAAAAACTCAGCTAAAGAATAAATAAAAATGACTAAGAAAAAGGTCGTATGTTTTGCTCTGCTATATGTGGAAAATGGAATGAAGAGAAAACTCTGTGAATGTCATATTGAGGTAGCCTAAACACAACGTTAGGCGAGGCCAAAAGAATGTTGCTGTATTTTGAGGAGGAAGTTGACGACAGATTTCCTCGAATAGCTTTCCCAATTGTGGTGTGTTTGTTATCTTCATTTCCGAAACCAGCTCTCCCATTTCTTTTCAAAAGTGAACAAGAATGAGATCGTTGAATCAACAAGGCTACCCATTCTAATAAAGCACCTAGTATTAGTGGTTCCTTTTTCAGTATCCGTAGCCCTATTTTTCCAGATAATACATGGCCTCTATTGGTGTATTTTCCCCCTTATGGTCAAACTAAACTAACGGAGCATTTGACCGGAAGGATCAGGCTTTCTAACCGGCTAATTTATTAAAGATATTACATGGAATAACATACCATGGCTATAAAAGTGACACATTAATGAAATACTTTTCTGTGAAATATTGAACTGAGTGCTACTTTGTTGCTGCGGATCTGAAGGCGGCAAGCTGCTTGCTAAATTACTTGCGTGTCTGAAGTCGGGCACAGTGGTAAATACGTGTTTGGTCAAACTTGGAGTGAAATTGGTATGGATTTTTAACTTTCGTCTCTTGTTATTTTTGCTACCCCGCTGTCGAATAACTCAAGTAAAAAACAGATTCATTTGCTTCAATTCGCTAAAGCGGAAGAAAGTAATGGGTGACAATCGGCATATCGGAAAGCATCTCTATTTTCCCACAAAGACGTAGTGATCTTAGGCAACTTGACGTACGATCGTACGTCAGAAGTTTAGGTTTTCGTGTGTTTTTGTTGCACGCATAAATTATTCTTCACTAATTGCCTAGATTTTCGAAACCAGCAAAAGCCGAGTCTTCTACTGCGAATATTTGGCTGATTGTTGTGGCCATCTACAATATATCGACACTTTGCCCACAGATTATGACAATTTCGTTTACAAACATCCACGTCTGTCACAGAGTGCGCGTCGTCTTTTTTTAATTCCGTGTTTCCATTTGGCTGGAAATTTGAATGAGACAATGTAAATTGCACAAATATTCTCCACAGAAAATCAAATTGAGTATGCAAAACGTGCTCAACATTAGTTCAGATAGACGGTGAGTGGTAAANATAGACGGGGAAGGGGTTATTTTGTCCGCCTTCTCTAAATTACGAGGAATGTGAACAAAATATCTGGAGGTTACCAAACTTCCTATTCTAAAAGATGACAGGTTTTCATAGATCCTCACAAAAATATTGGTCAAAATAACTTCCCTTCAAACAAATCTTCTAATCATTGCTAATATACTTGTGTTGGTAATCGGTTTTTTGGAACGTTTTGGTAGGAATCTGAAAACTGCTCATCATCATTGAGACCACACTATGAGGTATGTTTCGGCACTGGACCAGTGTGGATCTTCCGCTTGGTTACCAAAATCAGCCTCCGACGTCTGAAAGACCCAGTTGTTGCAGGCACAACTCCAGCACATATCTTAAAGCTCAATGAGTCTCTGTTAGGATGTTTGTCTCAAATTTAAAACTGGAGGAGCACCTGGTTCAACGAATTGTTCACTTTGCGAAAGTGCAGCGGCTTAGGGACTTCACTCTTGAAGAGATGAGTACAAAAAAGGTAGAACATAAAATGGCGCTTACAATCACTATACTTACTGGTAACGGGGCGACTGAAGGAGAAGGGAAATATGCTGAATACGGTATGGAAATCTCCAAAGGAGTGCCCGCCTTTAACGCGGAAATCGCATTGGTAAATGGACGCGTTTTTGCTTATTCCAAAAGACATGGTTGTCTACCAGACAACCGATGATTTGCGGAGTCACTAAATGAATACAAACATTCAACTTTCATACAGTAGTGGGGTGTTACAGAGTAAAATGTTAGATGCGATTCATGCGCCTTTTAGGGCTGTCTCAGGATTGTTTATTCCAATAGTGATCTCGCTCAAAATAGTGTAATTCACAGGGAGTTTTATCTCCACATTATCATCCACTCTGTGTTTGATGTTTTTAGATTTTCAAGTATTCATCACCCTACAGACAAGTGACGAGTGATGTCTAGAGATAATTCAACAAAGCTTGAAAAAATAGGGGTTACTGGAAATATATACGCAGATGGTTGTAGTAAATGAAAATCAAGTTGCCTTCTATCTGAGCTTGTTCGCTATAACAGAAATATTCTTGCACTTTGCCCTTGGTTCCTTTTCTTTATATACATTTCTTCCTACTGCTCAGTAAATATACCATTGCTTATACGACGGGATTATGTTCATTTTTAAAAAAATACAATGGTTTCAGTGTTAGTAGGATGGGACGACTACTAAGCAACGCAGCAGAATGTTTCACATCTGTCTGTTGCGCCTCAATAGGGGAGAAAATGGTTGGTCTTCCCGATGATCCTCCATGACAAATGCCTTATATCTAAATTACACCGGATACCCTCATTCAAGTGGTAGTTTCACTTGAAGGCCATATAGTTTTCCGTCTGACTCCAGTTACCCTAGATTTTCCGTGCTGACTGAATGAGAGAGTAAACACATTTAGATTATTTTCATTTTTGAACTCTTCTTAAGTGGACAGTCGTGACTGTGATACAAAGAACAATTTCACGCTTCTTCGATGTTTCTTTTGGTAGTTTGAGTAGACGTCAGAATTTCCAACCAAATTGACCTGTACGGTGTCGAATAATGATTCGAATTGTTGAGATGTTCGGTGGGCTTAACTTCGCAGTGTGAAGAACCACAGATGGTCATTGCTACGGTCATTATTGCTTTGCAAGGCTAAACTGTTCAGACCTGTGAGCCTTGAACGTGTTCTTTTGTTTGGACATGATAACCCAGGTTGGTTGAAAGTTGCGGTAGAGTGACGTCAGCTCAGACGTCCAATGTTCCTACACTGAATGCGTCAGGAAAAAATCCCTATCGAGCAACATTCAGGGTAATGCTTCTGTTTAGTGCACGATAACCGGAATAATAGCGCTTAGAAACAAAAAGGATGTGATGATGGAAGCGAATGACGCAAAAATAGCTCAAACCAATCACGCAATTATCGAAAATTAGTCGCCAGTTATTGGATATTCCTTTGAAGATAATAAAAACCATATGCCCGAAGTAATAAATCTACTCAGTGTAACATAGTACAAAGGTGTTGTATAGAATCACACGTTTCGCGGTGTAAAACTGAAACAGGTGCACCAAAATGTTAATAGACAGATATTTTGTGGGAATATTCAGGAAAACGGACAGCTGGGGAGAAATCTGTGTAGTTTCCTGAGACTCCCAATCAACAATACCGGTAATCTGCTTTTCCGTATTTGGGTTTGCAATGGCTCTTCTGCAAAATGGAACAAGAACGAGTTAAAATTTGAAAGTCTCTTTAAATGGCCTGACACCTTTATATCTTTGTTTTGGGTTTTGCCACTCCACCGGCTGTGTATGAGGATATTGCTACAGGGAATCATGACCTTGGGGTTTATCTAGACTGGCTGCACAACTTGAAACACGAGCCAAAGTTGAAATTGCATTATTTTTTATATGTCTTCCTTCAGTTGAAGAAAATCGCGGTTGATGCAGTATTAAGAGATGTCTACCACGCATCCGTTCATACATGCAGGAAAGTGTTGAAGTTCCGTAGAAGGACTTTGAGCAAAAGAGTAGTTCTGTGCGCTGCTTCATGTTGTTGAACGTCATTCCACTTTGAATATTGCGCCATTATCCTACGTGTTTGAAAGGTAATATAAAGTGACACGTTCAGAAAATGAAAGATGATTTAATTCGACATAAGCCTGTTGACAAACCATAATGGTAGAAAACACAATTCCGCATTTCCCCTACCGGGTAAGAAGACGTTCTGCACCAGAACCTATCGAGAACAAACTGGACAAGGGACACAAGCCTGCAAAACTAAGTCGACTCTACTGCCTTCCCCCACTGAAAGATAGCTTTACTAATTGTATTGCCATGTATCATAGCGTACGTCAAACATGCATGTTCTGCATAGAAGAGAAAATTTATCTTACCTAATCACTCAAGAAACTGTCTTAATTTCCCTGTTTGGAAAAATTCAGAGTAGGAAATTGTATAGAAAATCAAATTTTCTCAGCAACATATACCCCATACGTGATAAAACAATGATTTTTGGGCTTATTCGGTAAGCGTTCGTGCTTTGTAGATTTGAAGCCACAGCGACAGAAAACCATACTATGGATTAATACAGTCTGCCTACTGATTTACTTTGAAACACTAGTTAAACGTTAAGTTTATTGTGGTGAAAACTAATCGGCTGTGGCGTGTTCCATACACGTATCTTGAGTGTTCCATTTAGAGAGGTCTGGTACAACTCACTGTGGTAAATGGTTGACAGTATAGCTTTTTTCGTACTTTATAGTGGTCACTAGCAGATGGCTGTTACACGTACTTGTGAGTTCCGCCCAAAAGTTTCCGACTGTAATATTTATTTAGGGTACATTGTTACCTGAAACCAAATTGTTTATACTGAAAATGATTTATCGATGCGAGATAGTCCGGGTGAGCAACCAACAGCTGATTTGAGATGCCTTCTGAATGCTGGTATCCCATAGATTTTCAAACAACAGTCTCCGACTATTGTGCTGTTTTGGACAGGTTACATTTGATTATATGCTCTTCTGAGCAGCCAAATATATTCATGCGAATACAGCGTGAAAGTGACACTAAATTTGTATATCCAAAGCAAGTATATCTGCTAGGCCGTTACAAAACAAAACGACCGCACAACGAAACACAAAGACGTGCTCGATTCGTGAAGCGATGTGTTTCCAACCTCAAAACAAGATCCACTTTGATCCACTTTAAAAAACATCGCTATTTGGTGTGCATATTGAGGTAGTCCTAATTGTGGTATTGCAGGACGATATCACGGCATGTTTCAACATATCTTGGTTTCCTCCACAATATCCTATTTTCCTGCCTCAGTGTGCAGAATCCTGGCTCTACAGATGACATGAAACGTTCCTGCACTCTGCAAGGTTATCATGCGACAGAGTGTGTTGCCGAAGCTAGACAGTTTATTTCTTCAAATTTCGGGATCAAAAATTTGCGTGTGAATGTCGCTGAATCAGATAAAATCAAAACCGTTACCGACAGGTTTGAGTGAGAACAGCAGATGGGCGAAATCAAGACGCGTGTCTCAAGTTCTTTGTTCCCTGACTGAAGAAATTAGCAAGAGAGTTTGCCTCCGGGCACGAAGGGAATGGCATCACCCAGCAACTGATTGCGCTCAGTTTTAGATTTGTAGTTTTCTGGGATTAAATATTTTTCTGAAGATAGTGCAAGCCTCCCAAATCAGTGAAATGAAATAAGAAGTAGTCAGTGATCGGAAATTTGTGGCTAAAGAGAACATGGGCCGACAAATTTCACCAATAATCTGGTTTCACATAACCACTAGGAACCGTCAGAATTAGCGTCTAAACAAAAGGAGAATTAGAGCACTAATGCGTCAGCTGATATCATTAAAGATATGTTAAGGTCTTCATAATAACAGTTGTTAAGTACCAAGATGACAATCAAGTCAAATAAAATCATTTCTGCTTGAACCGTTGGGCAATTTTGAGTTCACATGAATGGGACCAAAAGAACTGGCCTCGATATAGGCACTACTTCAGTACCGGAGATTTGGAGAGGTAGCCTTTCAGCTCACTAAATGTCACAGCAATTTTATATTTCTTTCAAAAAGCACCATTTACCCGATTTACCAAATTTTATGTGGAGCAGATAACGCGCCAAGTTCATGTAATCTCGTAAAATTGACTCGGTGGTACCACTGCTGAGAAATCACTATTGATCATAGGATGGATTACAATTATGAGTATTTTAGTTTGCGGCCCCAAGTGTCCGGTCACGAAGGGTTCTTAGTTTCATTATCTGTGCTATCGTTCTTTAGATTACAAGTTGAAACGATCAACTATCGGTAGATTAAAATGGAAAGAGTTGTCTCTTGTGCTCTTTATATAGATTTGATCTATTTCATTCAGCAAAGATTGACTATGTGCATCACAGATTATTCTACCAGGATGACCATATCTACAATGCACTCCAAAGCTGAATGCACCTATGTGGGACCTTGAGCTTCCGAAATTTTACCACCAAAAGTACATAGATTCTGACCTCTTATTTACTGACCCTGGTTGGGGAAGATTTAGATTCTACGAAGCTGTGAATAGCCAGCGGGCATACCGAAAAGTGATTGGGCAAAATCCAAAGCTTGAATAATATTATTCCTTATAGCCTATCATTAGAGGCAGAAATATGTCTTCGGGCTACTCGGTTTTTTCTGAAACAAAGATATAACATTATAAAAGGGTTTCGCCAAAAACAGCCTAGAGTCATTTTTCGTATACACATTATATTACATTTACCGTGAATGTATGCGGACATTAGCTGTGAATTCCTCCAGTGTTTTAATATTCTGCGATCCAGTTGTCATCAATTACTCCATAACAACTAAGAAAGTGCTGAATTCCTGATTTTATTCGCGAATTTTTCAAAAGC